TTATATAGTAGGGCTAAAAACTAGAGGACCATATCTCGGAAACTAGAAATGGTACCATCACCATTTTTTCACAGAAGTGGTATCTTGCCCCTAGTACCCCACCCCCAAAATTTCAGACCCCAGGGTAAGGGACTTCGATGTCCCCGAGCCCGATGTTTATTCGTATAGTATTATATAGTAGGGCTAAAAACTAGAGGACCATATCTCAGAAACTAGAGATGGTATCATCACCATTTTTTCACAGAAGTGGTATCTGACCCCTAGTACCCCACCCCCAAAATTTCAGACCCCAGGGTAGGGGACTTCGATGTCCCCGAGCCCGATGTTTATTCGTATAGTATTATGCTGTATAGTAGGGCTGAAAACTCGGAAACTAGAGGTGGTACCATCACCATTTTTTCAAAAAAAGTAGTATCTGGCCCCTAGTACCCCACCCTAAAAATTTCAGACCACACAGCTTAATTTTAAATTTTGAATTGCGAACTGCGTTCTAAAACGCAGTTCACTTTTGAATTGCGAATAGCGAACTGCGAACTGCGTTCTAAAATCTGAACGCCGCCACGCCTATTTATTCACAATCTATTTTCAAAACAACAGCACATACACTCGGACAAAAAACTCAAAGTAGAAATACCACCTTGCCCAAGAGACCAGAAGAAAACAGAGCCTCATGGAGGTGGTATTCTAGGCAAAATTCTGCCGTTAATATTGTCTTTATCTCGTCAAAAAAGAGTGCTTTACAGTTACTGGCGCATGTCTCATTTCCGGCTTCAGTTTTTGCTGATCTTATTCATATGATCAATCAATGTAATGATTAATTTTTACGAGGGCTGTTCAATAAATAATGTCCTCATTGTAATGATATTGAAACGTTTATCTTTATTAACTTTGACATCTATAATTGTAGTAAAGTTACGTCAATTAAATTTGGTTATCAACAAAACACTGAACCTTTCCCAGTGATATATGTTTCCTGTATTTTGCACGTGTTGTAATTCTATATGCTGAGAATGCCATTATAATGCTGTTATATAGAAATGCTTGCTATCAATAAAGCCAGTTGAAAGTCACAGTCTCATGTGGTAACATTACATGGTGTCAGAATGGACAAACTTAACCCGCCGCCAATTCTCTCACTAGAAGGGAACTTAAAAGAAAATTGGAGAAAATTTGAACAATTATTTCAAATTTATCTCACAGCGAGTGAAATGGACGACAAAGAAGACAAAGTGAAAACAAATATTTTGCTTCATCTGATCGGTCCAGATGCTGTGGAGATATATAACACTTTTGAATTTGAGGACGCCAAAATTCATGACGGAGAGTGGCGCAAGTACAGAGGGCGTTGACCTCATAAAGAAGCACAAACCAAAAAAAGGAAATGCGCAGGGAAAATAAATCAAAGTGTGGAAAATGCGGGAAAAGCCATGAGCCAAGAAATTGTCCAGCATTCGGGAAACAATGCTACAAATGCGAAAAGAAAAATCACTTTTCTAAAATGTGTCGAAACACAATGCAACGGAAACCACATGAATTTAAGAATTCAAAGCGCTCAGTCAATACCGTAAATACCCATGACTCGGACAGTGAGTACAGTGTTGATACCGTCGCCATGGAAAACTCAAAAACGGAATGGACGGCGCATCTCAAAATAGGAAACAAAACGTTAAAGATGAAAATGGACACAGGCGCACAGGTAAATGTTATGTCAAAGAAAACATTTGATTCTATAGCAAGCAGCAAAATACATCTGACAAAATCCAGAGCAAAGTTAGTGTCCTACTCTGGTCACAAAATAAAACCATGCGGAAAAGAGGTGCTTACGGGAACGTACAAAGGAGAGTTCTATGATATAGACTTCCATGTAGTGAATGATGATGTCTCGACAGTACTAGGATTAAATTCTTGTGTACTAGGATTAAATTCGTGTATCGAGATGAATCTTATTGCTAGAGTTAATGCAATGCAATAAGGAAGCAGTCCTGGATGAATTCAAGGATGTTTTTGAAGGAATTGGAAAATTAAAGGGAAAATATACAATCAAAGTCGACAAATCAGTAAGTCCTGTAGTGCATGCACCTAGAAAAGTACCGTTCACAATAAAACGGAAGGTCAAAACCGAATTAGATCGCATGGAAGAACAGAAAATAATTAAAAAAATCAACAGCCTACGGAATGGGTCAATTCAATGGTTGTGGTGAGAAAACCTAACAAAGTTCGTATCTGTCTAGACCCCCGAGATCTCAATAAAGCTGTGAGAAGAGAACATTTTCCTATGAAGACCGTAGAAGAAGTTGCATCTAAAGTAGCTGGAGCTTCGGTATTCAGTACCCTGGATGCTTCTTCAGGATTCTGGCATATTCAGTTGGATGAAGAGAGTTCAAAATTAACCACGTTCAACACGCCATTTGGGAGATACAAATATCTAAGGATGCCGATGGGAATAAATTCTGCCCCAGAAATATTTCAGAGAACGGTATCACAGCTATTCGAAGATCTCGATGGCTGCGAGATAATAATGGACGATATTATAGTATGGGGAAAGAATGAATCCTAACATGAGGAAAGACTAAAGAAAGTGCTGCAAAGAGCAAGGAAAATAGACTTAAAATCAAACAAATCCAAATGCAAGATCGGAAAGCCTGAAGTTAGATTTATTGGGCACATCTTTAGCAGAGACGGGATGAAGCCCAGACCCGGAGAAAATAAAGGCAATCAACGAAATGAAAACGCCAGCAAACAAGAAGGATCTACAACGATTTATGGGCATGGTAAACTACGTTGGAAAGTTCCTACCAAATCTCGCAACTATAAATAAACCCCTACGTCAGCTACTACAAAAGGAAATACAGTGGCACTGGGACGAGAGGCACGAGGAGTGTTACAAGAAGCTTAAGGAATGCCTTATCAAAGCACCACTATTACGCTACTACAACGTAGATAATGATGTCACGTTATCTGTGGATTCCTCCTCAGAAGGAATTGGAGCCTGCTTGCTACAAAATTCTCAACCAGTGAGTTACGCGTCAAAATCAGGCATACTCTAAAACCTGGCCTGGCCCCTTTGGCCTGACCTGGCCTCAAGGTTGGCCTGGCCTCTATTTTGGCCTCTAATTTGGCTTCAAACCAAATTTTGGCCTGGCCTCAAAAGTTGGCCTGGCCTCAAATTTGGCCTCTGTAAAAAATTTTGGCCTCACCAAAAATAATTTCTTTTTCAGAATTTGATTGATTTTATTGATTTTTTTAAATTAGTTTCAGTCTTTAAAGAACGAAGCAGATAAATAACATATTTCTGTTGATATGTAAATGGTTACATTAAAAATAATCATGTACTACCACCAATATGATTTATTTTATTGCTTATCAATCGATCAGTGTACACTTATTTCATTTTATGATTTGATGACAGGTATTTCATACTGACACTACCAACACTCTTGCTTAATTATTTAGAAAAAAGTATCAGAGTTTATTTTGTGTTTTCCAATTTGTGCACATTGAAAAAATCTCTAAATCATGTCAAATGTCATTAATAGCTTTGAAAAATTCCCACTTGTTAAGTGATCAATCACCACCTTTTACACACTGTATAGTGTTGTGTTACTGTTATGCCTGCATCATCTTAAATGTGATATATGAATACAGGCACCAAAGAATTTTTAAATAAATATACTACCATATACCAATCCCTTACCAAAATATTTATATTATACTGATTTGATTACTCTGTTAACAACTCATATGTACTTTAATCTCAGAATAGTTGGCATTTAAAAAAACTAGACGTATAAATAACATTATCAGATAATTTATAACTTTCTGTTCCTGTGCAGTAACACTGTAATTGGATATCTAATGACAAAAAATTCTGCAGCATGGTTCTTGACAGGAGATAAGGTTGAAGTTAATTAGTAATGAAATGTATCTGTGCATAGGCTGTTAAGCCATCCATGATTTGTAAAGAATTTCCTGCTAAAACTTTCACTATCTACAATTATCAAAACAAAAGTTGAGTTTGATGATAGTTTATTAACATTTGTGCTGTAAAACAATTTCATCCTATCAACCAGACCATTAGAACCCTATCATATAAAATGTGGCCAACTACTTGCAAATTATAACATTGACACTTTTTCTATCAGATTGTAAAAGTAGTTCACATTATCAGAGAGATTTTTTAAATTCTGAATAAAGAGTTTTAAAAACATGTAACAAGTGATACTTAAAATAGCAAATTTTAAATTCTTTTTAGTTCTTAGGTAATTACTACTCATCTGCATTTCTTTGTTGTATTGATAATTTAAATTGATGTTCCTAAATGTTTTACTTTGTAAAATCATTAATCCAACCAAGTCTTCAGAATTGCAACTGATCAATAGAAAATCAATAAAATAAATCATATTGGTGGTAGTGTATTATTATTTTAATGTTCACATCTACATTTTCAACAGAAATATATTAATCACCTGCTTAATCTTTGGAAAAAAATGAAACCAATAAAAAATCATTCAAATCAATCAAATTCTGAAAAAAAAAATTATTTTTGAGTGAGGCCAAAATTGAGGCCAAAAATTTTTACAGAGGCCAAATCTGAGGCCAGGCCAACTTTTGAGGCCAGGCCAAAATTTGGTTTGAAGCCAAATTAGAGGCCAAAATAGAGGCCAGGCCAACCTTGAGGCCAGGCCAGGCCAAAGGAGCCAGGCCAGGTTTTAGAGTATGCCTCAAAATCACTCAGTCAAGCCGAAAGAAACTATAGCCAAATAGAAAAAGAACTACTTGCTATTGTCTTCGGGTGCTTGAAATATCATCAATATATCTATGGGAAACGCGTCAACATTGAAACTGACCATAAACCATTAGAAAGTTTATTTAAGAAACCACTAGCGACAGCGCCTCCTAGAATCCAAAGAATGATGCTACGCATACAAGTTTACGATTTAAACGTAAGGTATAAACCAGGCAAAGAACTTTATATTGCCGACACCTTAAGCAGAGCAACAATGAAGGACGACGAGAATGAAAACAAAAAGGACAAATTCAAAATACATACCCTGGAATACTTGCCTATAAACGAAAAGAAGATGGAGAAATTCAAAACAGAAATGGCAAACGACGTTAAGCTGCAACAATTGAAGCAAGTTGTCTTGGACGGATGGCCGGACACTAGAGCCGAGTGCCAGGAAGCGGTTAAACCCTACTGGAACTACCGCGATGAAATCGGATACTACGATGGATATGTAACGAAAAATAAACGTCTGATTGTACCCGACTCATTGAGACCGGACATGCTTAAAAAACTGCATAATACACACATGGGGCTGGAAAAGACCAAACAACGAGCCAGAGATATTTTGTTTTGGCCAGGAATCAAAACCGACATCACCGAACTTATTACAAGTTGGGGGGTGTGCAATCAATTTAAAAATAATCAACAAAGGGAGCCATTACTTCAACATGGAATACCTGATCGTCCTTGGCAAAAAGTCGGTACGGATTTATTCGAGCTGGATCGTCAAAATTATATTGTCATTGTGGATTACTTTTCAAAATTCTTTGAAGTAGCGAAACTTACATCAACCAAGAGCACAAGCGTTATCAAGAAATTAAAAGAAATTTTTTCAAGATACGGGATACCAGAGGAAGTTATGAGCGACAATTTTCGAGCGAGGAATTCAGGAAATTCTCAATGAATTATGATTTCAAAGAATCGACAAGTTCACCGCATTATCCTCAGTCAAATGGAATGGTGGAACGGACCATACAGACCGTGAAGAAAATTATGAAAAAAGCCAAAGTCGATAGAAAAGACCCGTACGTTAGCTTTTTGGAATTACGAAATACACCAATAGACCATTAGTGGTCTTTTTGTCTAAATTCCTCTTCGGGGAGGCAGTTAAATTTATGTTAAGTTTGACCTTCGCTTTGTTGCCATATGGGGCGGAAGTGGGTATCCATTTAAAAGTGAATTTCTTTGTGCTTTCTATATATATATATATATATATATATATATATATATATATATATATATATATATATATATATATATATATATATATATATATATATATACAACTTAATTTGTTCAGTGTGGGGGTGGACGAATGCATTGAATATAATTACATATATATATATATATATATATATATATATATATATATATATATATATATATATATATATATATATATATATATATATATATAATCTATACATGTATATCGTTAAGATACGTTGGTAACGTTAACTTCATAACGCACACTAGAGGGTAATGGAGCATCAATGGTAATAACTGTCTAAATTTTTATAAAGATATTTTGAAGTTCGTGCTCAGGTGAAGGGTACAGTTATTCCCCATAGGCTTCAAATCGTGTTTGAGATGAAAGCGATTAAAATGCGATTGACCAGGTCACTAAATGTGTTTATACTTATATTGCAGACGTTTATTATCGTGAATTCCTTTCCATCATTAAAATTTCCACAAATGGAAAAAGAAACTACTATGATTTTTCCCTACGGCTTTTGGTACTTTTATGTTATAATTGTTATCATCTGAAATGTCTAGTTTTTCTTCTGGCGTGTTCTGAATGAGTGAATTTTAAAATTTCATAATCCTTGTCAAAATTCTTGACCTTCAATCTATGACAGATTTTTTATCGACATGTCTAACCCCAGCTGATACGATACTGCCTTACTTTTCTCTACCCCTGCCTTACTTGTCTCTACCCCTGCCCTACTTTTCTCAACTCCTACACAAGGTTTTCGACCCTCAGGTTCTATAAAATGAACTTATTGTATTTTCACCAAGTTCGTCATTGTAGTTTAAAATTATATTATACTAAAGCAACGTTTAAATATAGGTAAAATGAAGAAGTTTAACAGCATATATTTTCATTCAAAGTACCAATATGTATTATCATGTACTAGCATTTTTATCATTGAGACAAATGCTGACTGCGTTTTTCACACTGATTGTTAGTCCATTATTTATACACTGAATTGACGACAGATTTTCCCGTTATTTCTCGATCATGACAAGGAGCACACGGCGGGTGTGACCGGTCAGCAGGGTATGCTCACTCCTCCATGGCGCCTGATCCCATGTCTGATGTTTCCGAGGTCCGTGTTTGCTCTGCTCCTATTTTGTATTGTTTTATAGACTTTTATATTGAATACTGTGCGTTATCTCCATATCCTTCCATACATTCATTTATAATGGTGAAAGCGAAAAAGCGAAGCATTTTGAAGATCAAAGAAAGTTCACAGAAGTTTAAAGTTTTTAAATTTAATATTTGCATCATCTACAACCAATGGAGATATATCCTTAATGAATCAAAATTGGATTTTGAGGGAATATTAATTCATCGACTCCTTTTCCATATGACACTAGTTTACCAATATACCGATATTTTAAATATAAAAAAAATGACATTTTGTCATTCATGATTTTTTCTGTGAAGGATATGGAGATGGTATTCAACATCAAAGTCCATAACGCAGTACACAGTAGGAACAGAGCAAACACTAACCTCCAAAACATCAGAGGTGGGATCAGGTGCCATGGAGGAGTGAGCATACCCTGCTGACCGGTTACACCCGCCCTGTGCTCATTGTCGGAAAATAGCGGAAAAATCCATCGTCAATTCAGTGTATAAATGATGGACTAACAATTAGTAGGAAAAATGTTTGCAGCATTTGACTAAATGATAAATTTGCTTAATGATTATTTGCTTTAAACGAGTCTGCTGATATTTTTATTTCATTAACTTGTGTCGATGATTAACATCGTTTTAGAAATTGTTCTGTGTATCTCGGGATCATGTAGGATGCACGTAGCTACAAAAATGTCAACATTTCATGTCCCTTTTAATTTGATATACAATATATATATATATATATATATATATATATATATAGTTTCTAAAAATTAGAACAAAAAATCAGTAATGTGAAAAACATCAAACATTTGATCTCACGCCGCAATTTATACTGTTTGGCAGAAGATGTATAAGATGTGCTTGTCTCTGTGTTGATCATAGGATGCTGATCCTGAATATATGGTATTTCACGTAACCAAAAGTCCGCCTCCTGGCTTTTGTAAGAAATTTTTGAGCTAATATTTTCTCCAAGTTGTATGAATCTTTTGTTTTGTGTGTTATAACTGGGCCAAAATGGTAACCTCGGGTCATTTGGGTTCCTAAAAGAAAAAAAGTTGAATACGTCAGTTTAATATTATTATAATTTGTAAATGCAAAAATATAGAAAATGCATGCATAACAAACTATAAGTGTTTTTAAATATTCTAACCCCGTGATGGCAAAATTGGACCAATACTTTCTCATCTGAAAGGCAAATAACAGATCCTCGTCTGTCGCTTTCACCGTCGTGTTCGGATCGAATTCTTGCAGGTTTTCAATAAAAAACAGAAACACGATATCGTCAGAATGGGCAGCACCGTGGAACCATCCCGGGGGTGCTGATTCATTATACATGAATCCCGGGTAAATGGGACTCTCCCTTGATAAAATAAACCTAAATGTTGACGATTTGTTATTAGAATGTATGTCTATGATTTCAGTTGATGGCGCAATGAAGAAAAGGTCTGTAAATAATTCTGCCCATTTACGAAATTGATCATCAGACGTGCTGTTCTTTGTAAAACCGTAAAACTTGCTGATTTCCGAAAAGAGCCGTTTGTTTCTTCCATAGTATTCCTTTAACATATTTTCTGGTCCAACATTCCATATCCAGTCTGAGGAGCGTAATGAAGCCCCAATCTTCTTATAATATCGCTCTAAACCTTCTATAGCTGTAAAGAGAACGGATCCTTCCATGTCGCAATTTGTGACGATGACGTCTAGAGACTTAAAAAAGGCAAAGGCGGAGGAATTCTCATGTTTCAAAATATCTTCAGGAGATTGTTGAAATAAGTCGTTGTCGACAACAGGTGCGAGGGGAATATAGCTGGATGGATAAGTGTAGGAACTGGAAGATAAATACCTCATGCAGATAATTCTCATTAAGATATTTTGTTCGAAAAATGGACACAAATGCACGGAGACAGCTTCAGATGTAGAGTATGTATCATAACCTTGGCGTGTGACCTTTAATGGTGAATTGGGAACTCCACTCTGCATTATTACGCGGTGGAATAAGCCTTTATTTTGCGGAATCAAAGCCAAAAAGCCCACACTGAAACCGCCTGCTGATTGGCCAAATATTGTAATGCTATTCATATCACCTCCGTAATCATCTATATTGTCCTTCACCCATTGTAAAGCCAACATTTGATCCCACAATCCATAATTTCCTTTGACTGTGGAATTTTTCAAAGCCATAAAGCCGAGCAAACCCAGACGATAGTTAACCGTCACTACAATAACATTTCCAGTTTTTGCAAGCATACTTCCGTCATAAAATGAAGCCGTTCCCACGCTGTAGGATCCACCATGGATCCAAACCATCACGGACTTTTTAGACGAAGTCTTCAGATTAGAAGGCGCATATATGTTCAAATGTAGACAATCTTCACTCAGTCCATGCTTGACAAAATGATGATTATAAACCTGTGGACATGCAGGCCCGAACGCTGTAGCATTAAGGGTCCCATTCCAGGAACCATATGATATTGGTCTGGCGAATCTATGTCTGCCGGTAGGAGGTTGGGCGTACGGAATCTGTAAAAATCTGTACAACTCAGTAGTGTCATAACTGGAAATTTCTACACCCAGTATGGGTCCAAGCTTTGTTTTATGAACAAAATTCTTAGTTTTTTGTTGTGCCGAAGAAATTTTAAAACATGCAACGATACTGATGTAGGTTAAATGTAGTATCTGTAAGGAAGAAAAAAGACAATTTGAAAACCCCCTTATTGACATGAAATGTTTATAATCCTTAAATTATATTTTGCACTTTTTAAGTGATCGATAAGTTTTTACATAGAATCACATGTAGCTTTGATCAGAGGCTAAGAAAATTACAATTAAGATACAATTTTACTGCATTTAAAACTTACCATTATAATGGTGTGATTGTTTCCAGCTGATATGATAACGCACTGTAATCTTTCGGGTAGCACGAACAGTGAGATTTCTCTCAAATTTGAAAAACAAACATGAAAAACAAACATGAAAAGATATCGATTATCTGATATTTTAGAAGGTAAGGTGTGTTGCATATAATCGAGAATAAATTTGTTAACCATTTGAGTGAAATAGATAGAAGGATATATTTGGGTTTATTGGGACTGAGCTTTGTCGGGGAAGGTGATTGTCAGTTCGTGTGGGGAGAACATACAGTGTCACCTGCAGAAAGCGTAACCGTGGCTGTAAGGGGAAAAAATAAAAAAAAAGCATATTACGGAAACCCATTTAGGACCTATCAAATATTTTTGAAATCGATATAACGAATTGTTGAATTTTTTAATTCAAAGTAATTTTATATCTAGGTTTTTAAGCTTTCGAATGAAATATGAAAATAATGAACTGTAAAAACGCTCAAACTTCCATTGAAAACTATATAAATCAGGAGCAGAGTAAACAGGAACTTCTTAAAACATGAGGTGGGATCAGGTGCCATGGAGGAGAAAGCGTCCTCTATCGACTGCTCCTTGTCGTGATCGGGTATATGGTAAAATTCGTAAACATTTCAGTGTGAAAATAATAGCCTATTTTTAATGATTATCTTAATCAATATCTCAGACAACTAATTAAACAAACTAAAATTCAAATAGCTTATTAAAACGATCTCTGTACTCAGACATGGATGAAAAATTCTGTTTTATTTCTCTAAAGCAGTCAATGTCTTGTACATGTATTCATGTAATAGTATGATGTTTCAATGAAATGCAATCCCAAATATATTTAACATATCAATAAAATAAAAGCTACGAGGTACGCGAACTATCTCTTTGTCTACAAAACCACAATCCAGATTTTTAAAAAAATGTACACACATCGCCATACACAAGTTCTATAAATAGCATATGCTGAATTAAGTTTTTCTCCCTGGTTGTCACAGTCGCACTCGTTCAACAAACGCCAGTACAATTTATTGTATATTTTAGAAATCCCTTTGCAGTATCATATAATTGTACACAGTGTATTAAGACTAATGACTTCCTATAAATTCAATCAATGACTGGATTGATCGTTTTAATAGTGAAGGAAGACAAATGCTTAAAAATGATACTTGTTATGTTGTTCAGTGAAAGCAAGTTTGAAAAGAGATGTGTTTTTAGACACAGCTATCAAAGACCTCCAATTTACACTTTGAAGAAATAGTTGAATATTTGAACAATAATATAAGTAGTAAATACCTAATATATCGTTTACTTTAGATTTTAAACATATTAGATATGATAAAATGAAGACACCCATTCTCGATCCACCTTGAATTAACGTCTCTACCGAGACAGAAGGTTTGGGTTTTAATGGTCGCCATGCTTATTTTTGGAATAGATAATCATATCCTTCCATTCTGTTACCGAGATTTGACCATTTCTGACAAATAATCTGTTCTTGTTTTCAAAATTAACTTACATGGAAATAAATATAAAACTCAGAAAAATCTTTCAGCTTTTGTGACAGAACGCTAGAGAGGGGGTCACGTGACCTCCTATATCACGTGATTCGCGCGTGAGCAGAACGGTGGTTAAGGTGCTTTAAAATTAGAAAGGACTAATTCAAACAAGATTTGTTTGTGAAACACTGATATGTCCCCGTTTGCAACATAGCGAAAATTAAATTTTTCCTAAATGCAAACTCACCGGAAATACAATTCTGAAATATAAAAGTAGGTTAAAATTTTTTTATAGTATGGAAATCTCCAAGGTCAAAAGATCAAGGTAATGAAAGGTCTCGTCACAAAAATACAAATGTGAAGTAAGGAAGCCCTAACCATAACTCTTCAAAAGTTATGGCCAAGGTTAAACTAGAACTAACCCTTTAGAAGTTATGTTCAAAGTTTGCTTTTTAAAAGTAGGTCAAACACCAAGGTCAAAGGGTCAAAATTCTTGGAATCCAATGAATGTTCTCACAAGAATTACATTATCTGAAATATTAGATCACTAGCCCTTAGCGTTCAAAAGTTATGGCCAAGGTTAAAGTTTTGTCATAAGTATTGAAATCTCCAAGGTCAAAAGGTCATAGTAATTGGTATCCAATGACAGGTCTTGTCACAAAGAATACATGTACATTTAAAAAGTATGAAATCCCTAGTTCCAACCGTTCAGAAGTTATGGTCAAGGTTCAAAATTTTAAAAAAGTATGTCAAACTTTAAGGCTAAGATCAAAGGGTTAAAGATCTTGCAACAAGGATTAAATATGTAAAGTATGAAAGCACTAGTCATAACCCTTTTAAAGTTATGGTCAAGGTCTGCATTTTAAAAGTAGGTCAAACTCCAAAGTCAAGGTGAAATGGTCAAAGTTTTTGGTATCCAGGTCTTCTCACAATGATTACATATGTGAAATATGAAAGCCCTATCCCTTAGCGTTCAAAAGTTATGGCAAAGGTTAAAGTTTTTTCATAAGTACGGAAATCTTCAAGGTCAAAAGGTCAAGGTTGTTGGTATCCAATGAAACTTAAAGGTCTTTCTACAGAGAGTACATATATGACGTATAAATGTCCTGGTGTCTACTGTTCAACAGATATGGCCAAAATAAAAGTTTGGAATTTTTGTGTAAAAGTGGGTCAAAAAGAGGGTCAAACTCCAAGGTCAAGAGGTCAAATTTGGTGGTAGCCAAGGAAAGGTCTTGTCACAAGAAATACACATGTGAAATATGAAAGTCATAGCTCCCCTAAATCAAAAGTAACGGGCAAGGTTTAAGTTTTTCGGACAAACAGACAGACAGCTAGACAGACGGACGGACGCGACAAAAACTATATACCCCCGAAACTTCGTTTACGGGGGGCATAAATGTAATCAACACTGAAACCAAATATTGTTTCTTTTATGGAAGTTATTCAATTAGTTAGCGAACTCTTTGATCATCCCTCGTATATAATTATTTGTATATTTTAAATCTTTTCATAAAGGACTGCAGTGTAATGCACCTTGACAAAAACCAACAACTTACAATTCGACGCGGACGGCCGACAAAAATTGGATTGAAATTCTAGTTTGAAATTCATTTTCAATCCACCTCAGTTAGGCTAGAAGGCACATTATTACTGATTGACCCAAGAGACAATTTCAATTTCGGTATAGTTTGAAAATAATACATAAATCAGAATAATCCTTTTATTAATCTTTATATTTCGGGTTAAAGTAACAGAGCACAACGACATTTAGTATATATAAAATGTACTTTAAGCGAGGACCAAGGAAGTAGAGCAAATACACGTCCTTCAGGTGCATAGAGTGATAATGATAAATTTTATTATTCCATCTGTAAAATCAGTAGAACTTAGTTTGGTGAGAGATTGAACGTCAAACCGAATCAGTCAAAGCCTGCAGCAATACAAAAGTCTTGGTGATTCGAACAGTATTGACCTATGTATATATGTGTTTATGAAAGATGCAAAACACGATCATATCCACGGAGAGTTTCAAGTAAAGTTGTTTTTCTATTAAGGTAACCTCTGATCTTTGCAATGGAAGTCTGACGCCTAAAATATATGATTGGACCATAGAAAAAGGCCCTCATGACAATTTTGATACATTTAGAGTTTTTCACGGATTTTGATGAAGGTTAGAAGTTGTCAAATATGAATTTTTATGGTCCTACGTCAACTTTAAATAGGTTTTTTTTCTTCATTTTTATCAAAAATACTTTTTCAGGTTCAAAATGACGTCATTTTTTTCACAACGTCAAACGTTTTCAGAGAGAACATGAAATGGATTTGCATTGTAATGTTACTCGTACGGTAATTAATGGTTGTATATCATTTAGTATTTCCCCATGCAGAATATTTTTGTCTCGTTGTCTGTTTTAATTATTGTAATATATATTATGGGTTCATCAATGGTGTTCAGGATTATGAGCATGTTTTACATTTCACTTTTCTTGGACGCCATTGGTAGACCTGAAAAGCGAGCGACATCCGTTCAGTTTTTCAAAAACAATTATTTTCTCAAACAAAATATTTACCAGTAATCCATGCAAGAGTCATTTGAGAAGCCCGTAGAATTCATTAGAAAATGATTTTTGTTCAAAATTTGCTCAAGATGTAAATTTGATGATAGTTCAAGTTGTTAATTTTTTTCTTGCTTGAATCCAGCATCAAACGATCTACCTTACCATATACAAGGTATGTGAAAGTTAATTAAAGAACATCATGAACAACAATAAACTATAAGTAAATGCTACTGCGAAGTAAAAAATTATTTGATTGTTTGTTCTCCTAAACTATATATAGACAGAAAATTTGTGAAGTATGATAACATGTAATTACGATACATGTGTATACAATTATAAACAATAAGGATATTTGGTTGATTAAAGGCATGTTTGAGGTTGTCTGTCGATCTGCATGGGGTAATGACACCGCTTAATAAAAATACAAACGATACACAAAATATTTTTCAGCCAATTCAAACAGTAAAAATATTTACTATTTACTTATCAAAAAGGTGGAAAATTTACAAACAAACGAATGAGTTATAGTACGCATAATACGGTAATTGATAGACCCAGGATCAATACTTCCAGCAATTGTAAATGAAAATATATTCAGTTATTATAGAGTAGACGTTCCTTTAGTGAAGTGAATTCCTCCAGAAGATCTACTGTATAATTGCAGTTCACCTTCCGGGATTTTTCCTTTTTTTTGTGGAAATATACCATTATTAATCAATTCTTACGTCCCCGTAATCGACAATTGGGGTATATAGTTTTTTCTGTCCCTATGTCCAGCTGTATGTTTGTCTCTTTGGCCGCAATAACTTAAACCTTGCCTATGACTTTTGAGTAGCTGGGACTACTATTGCTCTCATATTGTACAGGTCTATTCCTTGTGACAAACCCTTTCCTCGAGTACCACCAATTTGAAGTTTGGCCAACTTTTACAAAAATACCAGATTTTTATCTTGGCCATAACTTTAAAACAGTTGGTGCAAAGGCTTTTATATTTCACGTATTCATTGTG